ACGCGCACGCACGCACGCGCGCGCACACACGCACGCACGCACGCACGCACGCGCACACGCACACGCACACACACACACACACACACACACACACACACACACACACACACACACACACACACACACACACACGCCCCCCCATCCCCCCCCCCCCAACACACGCGCACGCCACCGCCGCGCAAACCGCTCCCACAACGCACGCGCACACACGCGCAGGGACGCGCGCACACCACCACAATGCGCGCACGCACACACGCACGGACACACGCGGGCACGCACACACACCCACGCACACACACACCTGCGCACCACCACCACCATCACCGCACCGCCACCACCACGCACGCGCACACACGCACACACACACACACACGCCCACCCACTCACCACACAGAGGCGCACGCGCGCACGCACCCGCACAAGCACGCATGCACACACACGCACGCACACGCACACACACACACACACATCAGGGACGTGCACTGGCACATGCACGCCCGCACATACACGCACAAACACGCACGCGCACACACGCGCGCGCATGCACGCACACGCACGCCCCTCACGCACACGCACACACACACGCGCGCACAACGCATGCACGCACGCGCGCGCGCACGCACGCGCACTCCTCCCCACTACCACCGCGCCCCCCCCCCCATAACCACGTCCCCCTCCCACCACTACCACCCGCTTTCATTATCCAGGGAGCCGCGAGATCTCGCCTGGATCGCGTGGCGTACAACTCCGCTGGATTACCCGGGAGCATACAGAAGTTGCGACAGTTGCGCCGTTGACAGCCCCCCCCCCCCCCCCCCTCGCAATGCAAAGGCTCGTGGTAAAGTCTTACCAGGCCCATGCTGCGTGTAACCCTGCCATGGTCTAGGCCATCCCTGCCTAGCTCAGCCGAGTCAGCCCAGTCTGAGCCAACTCGAATGCCATGGCAAATTTGGGCCCGATGTCCCAAGGGCCCCCGTCGCATGCTTGAGAAGACGGCCCCGTAAGCCCTGGGGTGGGGTGGGGTGGGGTGGGTTGGTGTGTGTGTGTGTGTGTGTGTCTGTGTGTGTGGCGCTTCGCGGGGCCCAGGAACTCGCGCCGCGGGTTTCGGTCCCCGGCGATTTCGGCCGTCGGAGTCGCGCGGCGCGCTTGGAATTCGCATCGCCCCCCCCCACCCCCCCCGCCCCAGGGATGCGCGTGAAGGGCCCTGAGCATCCAAGTCGCAGGCCACAGGTGGTCGCGAACTGGCCCCAGGGCCCCGCGTGGCAGGCCCCAGGCGCGGCGTCGCAGGCCGCGAGGGCTCGCGTCTTAAGCCCCGAGAGCTCGCGTCGGCGGGGTCATGCCTCGACCCCGAAGCGAAGAAGCGTTCTAGACATCATCGTGGCATTCGTTTTCGCGTATTCCACGCGGTAGTCCTCGCAACCCCATCGCGGCGCCCTTCGTTCTTCCGGCCCCCTATCTGTTCCGCCCCGCCCCCGCTCGGCGATGGGCGCGCCGCCCAAAATTAATAATTTGCCGACGAAGAATTGTTAAGGATTTTCCAACATGGCCACTTGTGTTTTTTCCATCCCAGGTCGATGATCATGCAGCCATCTAGGGCGCGCGTCGCTCGGGAGTTGTCGCGGGCCGCGGTGGCGCCTCGGAATGCGTTGGCAGTATTTGACTTCAACGCTCGCGTTTGCATGCCACGCGCGTCGAACCTCGATCGCGTTTAGAAGCGATTTGCCGTTCTGTCTGGCGCCCGCGGCGGGTAGGTCTCGCGCGCCCGCCTTCCTTTGCGAAAAAGGGGGCTGGCCCGATGTTCGGGGCCACCCTGCTGCCTGCGCTTGCTCTGCGCCGCGCCGCATGGGAAGGGTGGGCCCCGAGGCGCGCGGTTCGGGATGGGGTGGGGGGAGCTGTTCGGGTCGCTCCGTGCACGCAGGTGATAAGCACTTCTAGTGCATGTCGCCTCGCGTTCGCTCGCGCCGGCTGGGATGTCGGGTTCTTTTTGTTGGGTGGCGCATGGTGGCGTTGCTCTTGATCTCATATCCGCGCGCCCTGGCGTCGCGAGTCGCCGCCGCGCGAAGGGGGTCGTTGCGCGGCAGTGGTGCCAGGTGGCAAAAGATTGAGCGCGGTGCGGCTTGGGCCCCGCCGGTGCAGCTGGCGCCCAGCGGGCGCCCCCGCTACGCTGCAAATCGTTGCCTCTCTATCCCTGGCGCTGAAGTTCGAGGGCTTTGGCGATCGCTCATGATCAACGGTCAGTGGCCACTGGCCAGGAAGTTCCAGGCTCGACTTGCCAAGAGTGATGAACGCATTGTCTGTCAGCAGCCTGGTACGCTTGTGCATAGACGTGTCGAGCGCACGCTTGCGCGGGAACGTCCGTGCCCTGTCGCTATTGCTCTTTTGGTTCAGGCCCAGAATCGGCACCGGGTTTGGGTTCTGTTGGAGCGCGCCTGGTGGCCATTGATCGCTTCCGACTGGAAGCCGCTGCCCCGGGGCCCCGCGGTCCGGCGCAAACACTCGGGCCAAGTGGGACTCGCTGCCAAGAAAGCCTTCTTGGACGGGCCGGCTCTTGAGAGCCAGTTGGGGCATTTGTGCTGCGCGGCGTGGGCTGTGGTGGCGCACCCGGGTGATGATCCTCCTGGGGCCATGGTCAATGCGCATTGTGCGTGTTCGCGTGAAGTTGGTGACATTGGTGGGGCAGTGCTCGATGCCTTGAATCTCCTGCTGCGCAATGCCGCGCCGTCCATCGCCGCTATCGCTGATTCGTTTTTTTTGTTTCGTGGAGGGAATGGAAGAGAGCCCGAGGCCACCGGTGCCCACGCGTCTGCGCTAGCATGCAAGTGGCGGGCCTTTTAGAGTGCCCTCGAGGGTTCTGGGGGCCCACGCGAGGCCCGTTTGCTTCATCCGCAAAGTTAAGAGTCATTGCGCGATGAATATGCAGCCCAGGGCCGCGTCTCGCGGGGAGGCCGCTCCGGCAATTTCAGCGCCGACATCTAGGCTAAGTTTGGAGCTGGGTTTGCTCGTGCGCCCGTCGAAGATTGTTCTTTGTTTCTTTTTCGTGCGCCCGTCGAAGATCGCCAGCGCACGTGCACACCCGAACGGTTCGTTGAGCAGTTTGGGCATTGATTCGGCGAATTTGGCGTTCATGTGGACGCGCGCGACACCGCGCACGCTGCCCGCCGAACGCGCGGGCGCATGTCCCCCCCTGCCCTGGATTGGATGTTGTTCCCGTGCAGCTCCTGCGCGATCTTCGAAGGTCAGCCTCGAAGCCCCGGTGTGCATGTTGCCGTGGTGTGGCCCCCGCGGTTAGGGCTTGCCCAGGCTCGATGTTGTCGCGCGCGCGAGATGCCAGTGGACACGTGATAACCGGGGTTCGAAGACACACCAGCTGACGCTCCAGGTCTCGGAATCCTGATTGGAGGTGGGTCTCCTTGCGGTGGCGCGCGCGTCGCGCGGTGCGCACTGCTGGAGGCGCGTCGAAGCATTATTGGCTCCTTGTCTGAAGCCCTGTGCTCGCAGTAAGAAGGCGATCCGAAGGGTGCGCCAAGGTTACCTTCCAGGCATTACTGCGCAGGTGCCCGCCGTCGATCCGCCTGTGAGTTGATGTGGCCCAATGGTCGCTCGGCCCTCAGAGGGGGGCTGTTATGGCGTCGGAAAGAAGAGAAGGAGGAGGAGGAGGGGGAGGAGGGGCAGGGGGAGGGGGAGGAGGGAGGAGGGAGAAAGGATGAGGGAGGAAGGGGAGGTGGGCGAACAAAAGGGCCAGAGGCCCTTTGGATGCTTCTCGGAGTCTCTTCGGATGCCTCTTCAAAGATTCTTGGAATCCTGTTGGGGCGTCTTGGGGGCCTCGTGGCAGGCCTGGGAGCCTTTGCAGCGTCTTGGGTGCCTCGGGGGGGCCTCTTCGGGCCTCTGTGTGGTATCCTGGGAGCCTTTTGAGGCCAGATTGATGGCATCGTGGGGGCTTCTTGGCGCCTGCTGGGCGCTTTTTGGGGCCCTCTCGAGGCGCCCCCGGGGGCTTCGGGGACCACTTCGGGGCCATCTTGGAGGTGATCGATTAAAGAAGGGGGGCCCCAATGCCCCCCACCCCCTACGAGACCAAACTGGGGCAGAAACCTAATGGCAACGGGGCGCCCCCTCCAGACCCAGCGGGAGGGGGCAAGGGGGGGGTGAATCTGCCTTCTTAGATGGCAGGCCGTCTGGCTCATTCCCAACCGCCCTCCCGCCACAAGAAGGGCCCCCCCAGCGTCGGCAAACCGCGCAGAAAACGCCGCGCACGCCGCGCGCCACG